TATTTTAAAATAATAAACAAATACTCTCCAAACTAGACAAGGCCAATGAAACATGTTTTTGTTACTGCTAAAAGCTGAAGTGTACTTCGACTCGAAGCCGACTATGTTTAGCCGGTTACAACCAGGTGCAACAATTGCGGTTGGTTAAATTTAGGTGTATTCAATTTATTCATGGCATGAACTGGTAATACTAGATTAGAAAGAAAGTCGGGACGCCCCAACCGCACTATATCCGCATTACACCGTGATAGGTATTTTCGTATTCTTGAGAAAGTTAACAGAAGCCATAGTTATTGAAAGATTATTGGGACTTTTCTAGACCCAGCTGGAAAGCAGCCGGCCAAACTAGTTTTAGCTACGAATAAATCGAATACACCTACGTTTAACCAACCGCAATTGTTGCATCTAATTATAGCCCGGCTAAACCTAAATGTACACGCATTTCGGCTTTTAGCCGTGACATACAGTACAACACCTAATGATAAATGGTAATTTTTATGCATTTTCCTAAAATTCATAAAAATTATCGATCTAATCACCAGTTTTACAAAGTGGTTTTTTATTATACAAATGATAATGAAGGTTCCAAGCAAAAATACTGACACAAACATTGAAGTTTCTTTTGAAATAAAAATTAAAGATAATTTTTGCCCTTCTATAGTTAGAACATTTCACTACAAAGGAAGAATAATGTCATAAATAAGAGCGCAATTCAATTTCTGTCAAAATTTGGTCGCCTTTTTCCAATATACACATAGCGCCTCAGTTTCCTTCTCAGATTATCACACAATTCTTATTTATAAACAAAAAGCTGGTATTTTATACAGGGTTATTTTGCAATTACCAGCCAAATTTGCAACAAAGGTTCCGAATAAGTAATGTAGACAAATGGTGAAGAAAAATTAATGAAAAAAAAATCTCAAACATTTTGTCCGTTTTATTTTCTAAATTCAAAATGTGTGGTAATGCATTGTTTTAACGGATTTAACCTCGCACGCACACATTCATCAACACTTACGCTCTGTAAATTACATTAATTGTTGCGTCTCCACGCGCTCTTCTACAGTAACACCGTAAGTACCTATACCTCGCCTCGGCCGACAGGCGACAGCTGCCAGTGTTGACTGTGACCTCATTACGTATGCATCGTTGCCAATGCCGTAACGAAAATTTTCGAACTGCGGACACTATGAAACTGTGAAATGGAGATATTACATTTTAAGCAATGAAAGTTTATGTGGTACTAGAGGCGTAGCGTGGACTCATTTAGACGTGGGCGAAGTCGCATTAGCGAGGCCCTTCTTTCGTTCCCAAGATCTATCCTATCAAACATGTTTTGACACGATATACCTATTAATTCCTGACAAGTCTCGTATTCCGTCAATCTAACGGTCACGTTCTTTGAAGGTAGCAACGGCCTCGAAGTCGCACTTAAGAAGGGTTTCTTGCGTGGCCCTAAATAAACACGCTTTTAAATTTATAAAATCGTAAAAGTGATCAAATTAATTAGTCACCTGTGGTAAAGTCTGTGGGCAACATATTTAAAAAGGCTACGCGAGGCCGTGGGCGAGGGCCCACTTTGCCCACGCCTAGCTACGCCACTGCGGGGTAAATACAAAAATTCTAATGTGAGTACGTGTCGTAATTAACCTACCAATCGAATCAAACTATTCAAGTGCAGTGAGCGATAACTTAAATAGTGAATCTGCAAACTCGCCGGAACATTCACCGTTATTCTTTTATCTGTGTATAAAAAGTCCTGTTTACGTCAGAGGTCCAAAGTTATGAAGATCGCCACAGTAAAATTATATCTGCGTTCACGGAAGTTAAAATTGCCCAAGAACAGGTAATACGCCTAAAAAATATTTTAACAAAACATTCTTGTCTATGTATAAAGAATGTGGCCTGTTGACCCGTGACCGTTCGGCAATCTTCGGTAGCCCCCGGCGCGGAAACAACCAGTTCAGATTTTCTCGTTTCGCCAGTCGATACTATCGTCCGACGTCGCGACGTCAGATTCCATTTTGAGGTACCAATATTAGATATTGGAACTACTTCCGTAATTTAATTGTAAATCGTTTATTCCAATTTTTTAAATACGCTATAATATGGATAGTCGTCGGTACATCGTTGATAAGCAAAAATATATTTTGTTAATTTTATTTATTATGACGAACGTAAGCCCGTTAAAGATGTAAAAGGAAAATTGGAATCATAACGCGTCATGTAGCACAAGTAGGTAAGCGTGTCACTAAGTAAGTAAACAGTAGGCAAAAACTTGAGAAACAAAAACGTGAATTTAATCACACACACATCACATTCAATTTAGGATTATTTCAAATAAAAGTAAAAGTCTTATTTACTCGTATTTTCAAAAAATGTAATATCGGTATATAATAATTTATTTGGCTACTTTTTGAAAAATAACCCTGTATTACAATTGAAGACAAAAAATCTTGAAAAATGACCTCAGATATTAAAATGGGTAATAATTCCGTAAATTTTTATAAGCAAATTATAAAATATTGCACATGAATAAACGGTAACAGTAAATAAATGCCTATATTAACTAATACGCGTGATTTTGATCTAAAAGAAAAAGATAAGTATGGTACGCATTACAAAATTTTGTCCCAACTTTTTGTCTGCCCTATAAAAAGTAAATAAATTGCAATTTACAAATGCTACATAAAATTTAAAATTTCGATAAAAAGAAATATAAAAGTAAACACCTCGTCCAATCTAACATTAACATTTTAACTATAATCGTAGGAATAATACACAGCATAATTTGAATCTTAGGCAATAATGTTTAATTATTCTTAAGATTATGACCTATATAGATATAAAGTTCTTAACTGTACTGCATCTACATAGTAAATAAAATTTACACATTAAGATTTTTCAGGTATATTATAAAGGTACATTATCAGTTATAGTGACAAACTTAAAACTTTCGTAAGGTAAGAAGAAAATAAAAGCGACGGAAGTTTTGCATCAGTATAAAACTACTTTTGTGTTTGTATAATAATTAGTCAAATTTATAAGCACATTTGAGAGTGTATAATATATTATGGAAAAAAGTTTGCCATAATAGCACTCTATAAATATTATACTGAATTGAGATGCAACATATTCCATAGCATAAATATAACCTAATAATAAATCCGACATGCAGTAAGTTCCGTACCATTGTTCGTTGCACACAGCTGCACCGCTCCTGTGAAAAATAATAAGTGACTTTCAGGTAGGCTTGGGTAATAAATATATCGATATTATTTTAAAGTATCGAATCCTTGTATATATATATATATATATATATATATATATATATATATATATATATATATATCATCGATATTATTAAACAAGATATATCGATACTATTTTAAAGTATCGAATTAGTATCAATTTCGATATATTTTAAAATGGTGTATTAATCGACAAGACAATAAGCAACAAAAGCAGCTACAGCAAATCATTTATTTGCTGTTGTCGTTTTTTTTCGTCGTCCAACTGTTAGTAAGAAAATTTTGGGCCTTATCCCATTTTTTTCTTACTTTTGCATGATGTACTAACAACATGCAAACATAACGATATATCGATACTGTTTAAAAATATCGAATCAATATACGTAATATATCGATATATTGAGTCTATTTTTTTTCGCTTGCCCATCCCTAGTTTAAGGTCGGTTTTAGAAATACGCGGATGGTCTGCGAGAACTGTTCTTGCGGACCACATTATACAAATTTCATTTTAATTTTAATTAAAAGTTTTACGTTGCGTTGCACTGCAAAGTGGACGCTCCGCCGCGCTATCCGTAAAACGCGCCAATATCACAGAAGTCAACGCGAGGACGAACTTCGCCTTCTATTGACCTTTTCGCTATTATGAGTAGCAGACGTGTTTTCGAGTTCTTTTTTGACCAAAATGGCTTCAAAAGATAACTTGGTAATTTGAATCGGAACCAAACAAAAAGTTTGTATGTAAAAAAAGAAAACTGAAGCTGTATATGGGACAGTTCAGACAAGCATTACAATGCTAAACTGAAGGCTTGGAAGAACTAAGGATTCGTATTATTAGTAAATACACTATTTGTTGGAGGCAAAATCACACATTGTTTTTCTTTGTTCTGGATGTATTGGGAATGGATTTCGTGCTTTCTCTCCAATTTTCTTTTCCTCTGATGTTAGTACACTTACATGATAGAAAGAATGAGTCGTCATTATTAATTATTAGCTGTTAACCACTCATTGTGATTATTTTGTTTGATTATAAACATTATAAAACTTTACATGACAAATCAATTCTAAGTATTCATATTTTTACCGCTTCAATTTCTAAAGTTATGCCGTCGTCCACAATCTCTACAAACGTTTGGCTTGATTTTGTAAATCAAACTTCGCTATCCACTCACGTGCGAGTTCCTTAGTTTGTTCTCAAGAGGCAAGCATGACGGACATCGAGGTTGATGTGTCGGTTATAACGTTTGACTTAAATTATTTTTATTATAAATACAAAAAAATAAGTGAAAGAAAACAAAAAATACGGCAAAGTAGATGGTGGATGTTAAAAATGAATAAAAACCGTACCAAATAATTATGAAATTATTTTAATTATAGGTACTTATTTTCGGCACCAGCGCACGAACAGAACTGAGTACGCACAAACGTGTGAAAGCTTGCAGCAAATTCCCTTTGATTTGAGACAAAAAACCGACACCGATCGGATTGACTACAAAGCGCTCGCAAACCTATGCAAACCAAGTCAAACACTATCCACACGTTTGAATTTGTGACGGCTTGTTGCGGCATTAGATTCAGTACTTCATATTGACACACCAAACATAGAAACAACCTTTCACTTCCGTCTTACCAATAAAGTCAGATATAGTGACGGCTTTGTTGTGCGATCGTCCAACGAATTAGCAACAGCAGTAGTTACCTGGCGGCCGCGCTAGGGCCGGTCCGTCCGCTTCAGTGTGTGCAGCGCAGCACCTAACAGCAGCCGCCGCCGGCCGCGCCGCCCGCGCCCGCGCCCCCCGCGCCGCTCGCCCCGCCGCCCGTCGAGTGCTGCGGCCCGATCTTGATACCGTTCGCCTACACAACGTAAGTTAACCGGCCTAATGATCGTACGCTCACCAGATGTCGCCGCTAGTTAGGACTGAGGTGAACTTATTTGTCACGCAGCTGGTCACACAGTATCTCATTCATTGAGAAATTACCCTGCATAATATGTCAAAAAACATAATGACAATTTTAATACAGTTCAGTAGAATTGTACTAAAATTGTCATTATTTCAATTTACAAAAATTCAGTAGAATTGATGAGAAAATCATCGTTATTTCTTCATAATTCATTATCATCATCATTACAGTCCCTTCACAAGTCTACTGCTGAACATAGGCCTACCCCAAAGAATGCCACAAATCATGGTCCTGAGCCACCTGCATTCACCTACTTTCTGCATGTCTTACCAGGTCCTCTAGTGGGAGGCAGCCCCACACTTCACCTACCGGTGCGAGGCTGCCACTCGAGAACTTTGCTACCCCATAAGTTGACGGTTCTTCGAGCTATATGGCCGGCCCATTGCCACTTCAACTTACTAATCCGTTGGGCTATGTCGGTTACTCTGGTTCTAATGCAGTAAGTTTATCACTCAAAGAAAACCCGTGTGAAAGCTTCTTCATACGGCCAGCAGTGAAGGACCACTTTTCTTCATACTTACCAAAGCCTAATAAGTAATATTGTTACTATGCTTTGGTAATTTTTAAAGATGAAAAAAAAAAGTAAGTCCCTTATGTATCACTCGTGTAATTCTATTGTAAGTAACTTATTTCTATTATTTTTATTTTCAATTTTGATAAATACAACACATAGTTTTGTTAATGAGTTTGCTGATTTGATGGTATAGTAGTACTCAAGTTTTTTATATTCATTAATAGTAATCCTTGCATGAAAAGTACATAGTGCTGCTCATTCTTAAAGCACTCAAAGTTGACCCAGTTAGGATCAATTGGTGTTAGGAATTTAGGACCGGATTTATCGTCGTATAATATCATGTGACCGTAAACAGAAATTGGGTTGTGTCACACACACTGACACCTTAATCCCTGTTCAGTTGATAACTTTAGGCAAGTTTTGGAGTGTTTTTGTACCTAACTGGCAAGAGTGGTAGCTATGGCATATATCCTCTCTATGAGTTAATCTATGGGGGAGACCTGTATTCAGCAGTGGATGTAGAGGTGTGATGATGATTTTATTTTCAATTACAGAATTTACTACGATATTGCTTCTTCCTTTTCAATGGATAAGCTGTATTCACAAATAACATGTTAGAACCGGTTTCATAGTTTAACTAGAAAAATATCATTAAAAAAAAGGAATGCGTTTTTAATGTTTATAAAATACCTCATTGTTGATATCGAAAACGCCTTCCTGGATTTTCTCGTAGATCTCCTTTGCTGTGTTAATGAATGCCTCCTCAACATTTGCTGCGGTTTTTGCTGATGTTTCCATAAACACGAGGCCATGTTCACGTGCGAAAGCTTCACCCTCCTCTTTCTTCACTTCCCGCCGAGACTCCAGGTCACTAATTTTTTTACAGATTAGACATTTTTAATTTTTAAAACACATTTTCAATAATTAATTATGGGAATAAGCTTATACATTTTCAATAATTATGCGTAGGAATAAGATAATAACTGTGTAAAATATAGCAAAGATTTGGTGACGAAAATAAACTTTTAAGATTGTTGGAAGGTACAATGAGTGATCTGAAATGAGAATCCCAATAGGGAATCTTCTCTTAAATTAAAAAAAGTATTCTAATTACAATAGCCTCGCGAATCATTTTAGTAGTATTTAGTAGGAATCGGTGTTCTTTTGTGAAGGTTTGTTGTCTATCAAATCCAATATAATGATTGAAACAATCCTGAACATGTTGATATACTGCAGACAGAGGTGATTAGAATTTCGTAAAGGTTAAGATTAAACGCGATAAAATCCCTAAAATTGGTTTTATTCCATGTGCAGTATTCCTCGTAAATATAAGAAATAATTAAGGAGATTATATGTTACATTAATGATTCTTTCCATATCTGCAGTGATAATACTTACACAAGAAAGCAGCTTAAGTATGAAAGCAGCGTTAAACAGGTGTGTTTTGTAAAGAGATTGACAAATGTTATGTGAAAATTGCGAGTGAAAAATAAAACTCACGAAGTAATAAAAGTTTAATGAATGAAAGTATACTACAAACATACCTCTTGTTACCAATTAACATGATGACCATATTCGAGTTTGAATGCTGGCGAGCATCCTCAAGCCAAGTTGTTAAGTGGTTGAAGGTATCCCTTCTGGTGATATCATAAACTAAAAGGGCACCGGCTGCACCTCTGTAGTATGATCTGGTTATTGATCTAAAATGAGACAATTATGTATATCAATAATTATATAATTAACCAATCATTACATTGATAAGCTTTTATCATACATTTCTGTTGAACTACAAAATGTAGTAAAACCACTAAAAGTAGTTTCATTTAATGAAATATAGGAAATCATTATGAAATATATAAAATTAAAAAGTTTTACCAATCCAATACAGGGTCCACACCTCATTATAAATATCAAATATGGCCTACCGATGATTTAACCGAGTAACAGCTTTTTTCCAAATACCAATTGTGATCAACTAATTGTTTTTTAACGGTGAAAAGTTCATCTAAATCAATGAACTAGAATTTAACATATGATGATGATGAGCAATATTACACCAATAATATGGTGTTATGGGCAAAGCTTTCAAGCCTAGGAATCCAATGAATTCTTGCAGCCTGCAACCACATTTTTGGAAAGTCCTATGCACAGCAGACTTAAAAAGGCTTATATAACCAAATTGATTTTGTTTTGTATATTGTGAGTTAAAAGTAATTCAAATTCACTTTATATAAAAATGGTTAATTTAAATACAAAGTAATTTTTTAGGCTACAATATCGGCCATAACGGTTAGCAGGGCGGAAAACGGAGCAACGAGAATTGACTATTGAGTAAAAATTTATGTTATTCAATTTCGATCTGTTGCACTATCCTAGACCCACGGCTCGAATATCCCGCTATCACAGCATAGTATTGAAATATATTTCTATTCGATGATCACAAATTAATCACAAATAGAGAATAGAACACATGAAATTGTGAATTTATTAAACAATTGTTATGTTGCAGTAACCATTGCTATCTCCTAACATATAATATTATGAACAAAAGATGACAGATGAAGCATATTATTTAAGGTTTTCCAAAAAAAATTGGAATTATTTCTTCTGAGAGTATTATGATAATGCAAGTTCATTAATTTGAAAAGGTAACATAAATTTTAATTATTTTGTTATTGTACCATTAATAATGTATACCCTGTTGCATGCTATCTCTAGCAGGGGTATCATAGGTTCACAATGTCTAGACTAAAATTAAACAATAACAATAGGAAAATGTATGCCAACAGCATATAAAATAACAACAAAAGTTTGCAGAAAACAAAGAATACTGTACCATTCGCCAGATAAGATACTGTAGAGTCAACATAAGACAAATAACTGTAAAACACAAAAAATCGTAATAAACTATAATATAGATTAATACATTAATAGTACCAAAAAAGAGTAGACTATCTTAGGAATTTCTAGTATGCATGGACAAACACCTAGATCTGGATTGTTGCCCAGAAAAAGTAGTTGTATGGGCTTACAACTACTTTTTCTGTGAGGGATTTGAAAGTACAGCCTGTGCTCTATTATTAAGTTTGTGATCCTGTGTAGCCAAATGCTTAAATACCGTACTACCGGCCCAGCAATGTTTTCACAAATATCTATACAAATAAATAAAATTGAAGTGTCTGTTTGTAATGTCAAAATTAAAGCATTTTACTAAATGCATATGAAAGTATAAACGGTACGTATAACAAAAATACACTTTTAAAATTTTTGTCTGTCTGCCTGTCTGTTTGTTCCGGCTAATCTCCGAAACAGCTGGATCGATTTTGACGCGACTTTCACTAGCAGACAGCTGATGTCATAAGGAGTAACTTAGGCTCCTTTTATTTTCGAAAATTAATTAGGGTTCCTCGCAAAAAAATTAAAACAATTATTTGTAGGCCATAAAATGTTATTTTAAGAAATTATGCATCAAGAGCCGTGGTAGCTTAGGGGCTAAGCGCTCGCTGTAAATTTCACAGTTCAACCCAGGTTCGATCCCCACCAGCACCAATTAAATTGTTAATTGCAATTTTAAGTGCTGGTTAACCATGTGCTCGGCGGTGATGGAATACACTGTGAGGAAACCTGCATGTCTGATAAATAAAAAAATTCAGACATGTGAATTTTGCCAACACGCAATGGGACAACGCAGCAGACATTTCCTTACAATAAAACCCTTGCAGAAAAGAGAGGAGGCCTGTGCCCAACAGTGGGAAATATATAGGCTGTAACTTTAAATTAACTTTTATGCATTGAAATATTCAATTCTATATAAAAGTAGTCAAACATTGTTCACTTCCATGGAAAATGTATTGGAATATACTAAATATAGACGCTGTATAGGTGCTGTGCAGTGCTAGGGGCTGCAGGTTTGAATCTCACATGGAACAAGTATTTCTATGGACTATAAATAATTGTTTTTGTTTATATATGTATATAATTGTGAATGTTTGTCCTTGTGCAATTTATTCTACAGAGTTCAAAAAGGAGGAGGTACTGAATTCGACTGTATCTTTTTTTAATGTTTGTTACCTAATAACTTTTTTCTGGGTGAACTGATTTTGATGATTTTTTTTATTTGAAAGCTGGTGCTTTGCATGTGTTCCCATATAAATTTGATCAAGATCTGACTGTCAATAGTTTTTGAGTTATTCTTAATAATTTATATTGAAGTCGGTTGTACAAAATTTTTAACTATTATGTTTGTAAACTGCTATTGTAAACTGTTAAGCTAAGTCAGTGCGCTGTACCATTTTCAGCTACATTACTAGTCACCATCAGGTAGGATAGTAGTCCAGCACTGGCTCATAACAGTTATAACATCAATAGAAAATTTTAAAAACCCATGAAATAAAAACAGCCGATGACCTTGAAATGGCTCAACCGATTTTGATAAAACATGTTTAAGAATCCCCGCTACAAATCCTGCTTTTAAATAAAAAAAAAAACAAATTGGTTCACCCGTTTAAGAGCTACGGTGCCATAGACAGACACACTTGGCAGTTAAACTTATAACACCTCTCTTTTTGCATGGGGGATTAAAAAATGGAGCAACTTGTTAAGTCAAAATATGTTTCAGAAATAGTCATGTATAGAACTATAATAGGGGATGAATCACGCATTATCTTTTGTACTTAGAAAAACATTAATTAAAGATTCTGTCACAAAAACAGTTGTAGCTGGAACAATGCAAACAATCAATTTATTAGTTGTTACTTTTAAAACTGTTGTAATATACATGGAGTCAATAAATTTCACCAGGACTTCCTTCATTTCCTCATTCAGCAAGAATAGTGTCTTAAATGTGCTATAAAGTAACAAAAACTATCACTTCTTCAGCCAATCACAAAGCATCTTTTATTCTGCTGGAAGAGTAAGAACATGCTTATTTTTCATTTTATTCTCTTTAAAAAATTTTGGTACATCACCTCTAACATATTTGGAGGCACACTAGCTTAATTTACTAGCAGAAAAAACTTATCAAGGAATATAACTATTTACTTTTCATAATTATCTATTAATAACTTCTGTTTTTTCTTTAACTTTTAGTAACTTCTCTTTTTTTCTTTTTTTAATAAAACATTACCTCCACACTAAGATTTTCTCCTGTATCACTGGGGCAGTTTACATAAATTAGACTTTAGTAACTACACATAATGTCTTTATCTGTATATTATTACTTATTATAATTTATAGGTCATTGAAATTTTATCTATACCATTTTCCGTGATAATGAGTTACATGGATTTATATACAAAAATTATACCTGAATGCTTCCTGACCAGCCGTGTCCCATATTTGCAACTTAATTTGTTTACCATCAATGGTAATCATACGGGCACCAAATTCCACACCAATTGTGAGATCATGGACTGGCTGGAACCTCTTATCTGTAAACTGTAGCAGTAAGCAGGACTTGCCCACCCCTACCAATCATATTTTAAATATAGTTAGGAAAATACAGTCAGTATGTACACAAAGAAGAAAATTTATCTATTTTTATTGTGATGATTTCCCTCTTATTATTACTGTTTACAAAACTGTGTACAAAACAATTGCATTAAGAACTCCTTATTGCAAAACAAACAAAGAATGTCCTTGAAAATGATAAAAAAGAATAAAGGGCGAAATAGGATTCTAAACTAGAATTATTTCGTGCTACGTTCAACTTTATAGAACGAGCGTAGGCGGAACACAAAAGGTTTTTATTAAATATTTATTTGATACTTTTCTTTATGAAATGCCTAAAACATTTACCTAATATCAATTTCCATTTTTTTTAAATATGTAAATTAGCAATCACTGGGTAAAAGTTACAAAAACTACAACGAAGTTAAATATCAGGAAATAAAATCAATACCTGTGTCGCCAATGATGATGTATTTAAACAAGTAGGCGTATGCCATTTTTCCTTGTAGACTTCTTTGTTGTTTAAGGAATAACAAGTAATTTCAATTTATAGCACTATATAAACGAATATTACAATAATTATAAAAAGACGCAATAAATATGTATCCCACAGCTGAGCTAATTCAGTACGTCATTGTGATTTGTGAATGAGAAATTTTTTTAGTAAAATTGACAGAGTTGAACTAGTGTTGCCAGCCATTTTGAATGAACGATCGTACGATAGGTAAATAAAAAGTCGTATTCCCTAAGAAAGTCATTAAATAAAGATAGTACGTTTTTTTTACTTTGTTTTATTAAATAATACAAAAATTGAGAATTATAAACACAAAATTATTAGTCTTTCTCTTCATATAAAATCTTACTTTCATATTATTTAACATTTCTCTTGATGGAGAAAAATCAACACAACAACCAAAGCGTTTTATATGTTGTTTGGCTAATAGCGTGACCTTCGAATTTGGATTTTCGTTTTGATGAAACTTACTGAACTGAAGCACCGTTCACAATACGCATTAGAGTGAGGAAGGCATAGCAAATCGAGAGCAAATTTTGCTATATTCTGAAAGTCATATAACGCACATATTTCTGCTCAAAATTCGTCTAGCGGGAGAGTCATATCAACTTAATAAATAGCATAGGTAATCTTCTCCACTCATCGTCCACATTTTGCATTATTTCTTCACTTACAATCCGAGGCACAATTTTCATTAGAGGGAAATGTGAAAAGTCGTATGAATTGCGTACGATTTTTATGTTTCGATCGTACATGCATATAACTCTTAAAAAATCGTATGAATACGATTTAAATCGTACATCTGGCAACACTGAGTTGAATATAGTCTGACATTTTTTTTTAATATGACCTCGTACATTTGTACGCCGTGTAGAGGTGGTCAAGAATATCCACTACTCCATATCTTCCCGTGGGTGTCGTAAAAGGCGACAAAGGGAAACAGGCAGGAGATGGACAGCAGCATCTTCCTGATAGTAGCCGAAATTACAATAAAAAAAACTGCGATTGTCAACCCGCTCGCCAAGCGTGGCAACTATGGCAAATACCCCCTATGAAGAGAGTAACAAAGAGACGGCCCCCAGTCCCCGGCGGCCCCGCTATTCCTGGCTATGGTGGCGACCATGGTAACGGCGGGGCAGGGGGTGCTAAGAATCTCCGGTGGAGGTTCGGTTGCCACCTTAGATGACTCGACCTGGCAACGTACAACGCACGTACCCTGAGGACTGACGAGAAGATCGTGGAGCTGGAAGAAGAGATGGACAAGTTCCGCTGGCATATTAAAGGATTATCCGAAGTCCGAAGAGAGGGGGAGGACACGGTAATCCTCGAATCCGGCAACTTGATCTATCACCGGGAGGGCGACCATCTGTCCCAAGGAGGTGTCGGATTTATCGTCCACAAGTCTCTCGTTAACAACGTTGTAAAGATTGTGAGTGTGTCGACGAGGGTTGCGTAAGGTACGCAACCCTTGTCGACACACTCAGAATCACCAAACGGTTTTCGCTGAAGGTCATACAGGTTTACGCACCAACCTCGGCACCAGTGGCGTAGCGTGCCATAGATGGGCCCTATATCAAAATTTGTTGGGGGGCCCCAATGAAGAGTAAAGATTTCATAAAAGGAACAAAAACGCTTGCATTGAATTCAAATTATTATATATTGATTTTAAGTTATTCATCATCATCATTACAGTCCTTCACAAGTCCACCGCTGAACATAGGCCTCCCCCAAGGAATGCCACAAAGCACGGTCCTGAGCCACCTGCATCCATCGACTTCCTGCATATCTTACCAGGTCGTCACTCCATATAGTGGGGGGACGCCCTACACTTCGTCCGCCGGTACGAGGCCACCACTCGAGAACCGTTTTTCCCCATCGGTTGTCGGTTCTTCGAGCTATATGGCCGGCCCATTGCCACTTCAGCTTACTAAAATCCGTTGGGCTATGTCGGTTACTCTGGTTCTACTGCAGATATCCTCATTTCTAGGTTTATCACGCAGAGAAACTCCGAGCCCTCTCCATAGCTCGCTGAGCGACCTTGAGCTTCCTCATCCGGCCAGCAGTGAAGGACCACGTCACAGTACCATAAGTCATCACTGGCAACACGCACTGGTTGTACAGTCTCGTTTTCAAGTTTTGAGGTATACCTGACGAGAAGATGTGCCGTAATTACCCGAATACTGCCCAGCCGAGTTGAATCCGTCGATTGACCTCTCAGTCGAAGTTGGACTTACCTAGCCAGACTATTTGTCCCAGGTAAACATACTCGTCAACAACTTCGAGCTTAGTGCTCCCAACAAATACCGGCATAGGTGTGACATGGACATTAAACATGATCTTTGTTTTGTCCATGTTCATCTTAAGACCTATCCGTTGGGAAACACTATTGAGGTCCTTAAGCATAGTGCTTAGGTCCTCCAGCGATTCTGCCATAAGGACTATATCGTCGGCAAATCGAAGGTGAGTGATGTACTCGTCATTGATATTAATACCGTATACTTTCCAGTCCAGAAGCTTGAAAACGTCTTCCAATGCAGCGGTGAAGATTTTCGGGGATATAACGTCACCCTGTCTTACACCTCTCTGCAATTGGATAGCTTTCGTACTCTGGTTCTGTACTCGGATAGCCATCGTAGCCCTACTGTACAAGCACTTCAGCACTTCGATATACCGACAGTCAACTTGGCAACGCTGAAGGGACTGCAGCACCGCCCAAATTTCGACGTAATCAAAGGCTTTCTCATAGTCCACATACGCCCGACATAGTGGCAAATTGTACTCCTCGGATTTCTGTACAATTTGCCGAAGGGTGTGTATGTGGTCTATGGTGCTAAAGCCTTTTCGGAAACCGGCTTGTTCGGGAGGCTGGAAGTCGTCAAGTCTGAGCGCGAGACGATTCGTAATGACTCTCGAAAACAACACGTAGATGCGGCTCATAAAGGAAATCGGTCTGTAGTTATTCAAGAGAGCGTTGTCACCTTTCTTGAAGAACAAGACCATCGCACTTCTGCTCCACGCCTCCGGTGTAATGCCACCATGAAGGACTTCAAATACCAGTTTTCCACCCGCTTTCAAAAGCTCCGTTGTAATTCCATCCTCGCCTGGGGCCTTGCCGTTTTTAAGGTACTGGAGAGCCATTCTAATCTCGCTCAGACTGATGTCCAGTATATCATCGGAATAGTGTCGGATAAAACTCGCTCTTGGATCGTTACTCACACTTATTACGTGTGGCTCCAAGGATGATATGTACAGCTGCCCATAGAACCTCTCAATCTCACTCAAAATCTCAGGTGTCCCGGAAACGACGCTGCCACATTCGGTCTTCAGCTTCGACAGTTGGCTCTTTCTTACAGACAGATCTCTAGCAAAGACTTTTGAGTCCTGGTTCCGCTCGATCGCTTCTTTAATACGAGCAGTATTAAAGTTGCGTAAGTCCCACCGCATGCATTTGGAGATCTGTCTGTTCAGTTGCCTGTATGCTGTCAAATCTACTGAAGACTGCAGCTTCATATCCCGTCTAACAGCCATGAGATCAAGAGTGTAATCGGAGATTTTTTGTGCTCTTCTGCGGCGGGTCTTGCAAAACTTAGCTCCGGCCGCATGGACAGCTTCCACGAGATTGTCATTCATATCGTCCACTGTATTGCAATCTTCTAGGCACTGAAAACTGTTTCGTAGCTCGAACTGAAAGGTTTCGGGACTTTGGATTAGAGCACGAGGGGGACGGAGCGTTGACTTCATTAGACGTGACCTCTCCAACTCAACGGTTAGGTTCAGTGTGCCTCTCACCATTCGGTGTTCGCTACCGGTTTTCACCCTCGCGATCACAGACATCACTGAACAGTTGTCGTCTGGTCGTCATAATGAAGTCAATCTCATTTTTTGTCAAACCGTCGGGGCTCGACCAGGTCCACTTCCTGTGGGGCTGCTTCTGGACGAAAGAGTTCATCATAAAGAGTCCCTCTTTCACCACGAAGTCGGCCAGCTGCTGGCTCCTTGGTTTCCGTTGCCCTATTCCGAAAATTCCCTACTTTCAGCTCACCGTTCTCTCTTGTGCCTAGTTTTGCGTTGAAGTCTCACATTAACACCGTATAGTAGGTTTTGGAGGAATGCATGGCTCTAGAGATATCCTCATACATGTCCTCCACCTCTTCATCGGGGTGTTCCGAGTTTGGTGTGTAAACCTGTATGACCTTCAGCGAATACCGTTTGGTGATTCTGAGTATAAGGTACGCAACCCTCGTCGACACACTCTCAATCTTTACAACGTTGTTAACAAGAGACTTGTGAACGATAAATCCGACACCTCCTTGGGACAGATGGTCGCCCTCCTGGTGATAAAACAAATTGCTGGATTCGAGGATTACCGTGTCCTCCCCCTCTCTTCGGACTTCGGATAATCCTATGACATTCCAGCGCAACTTGTCTATCTCTTCTTCCAGCTCCACAATCTTCTCGTCAGTCCTCAGGGTGCGTGCGTTATAAGTTGCCAGGTCGAGTCGTCGTAGGTGGCAATAGAACCTACACCGGAGATTCTTAGCACCTCCTGCCCCGCCGTTACCATGGTCGCCACCGTAGCCAGGAATAGCGGGGCCGCCGGGGACTGGGGGCCATCTCTTCGTTACTTTCATGGGGGGCATATTGCCATAGTTGCCACGCTTGGCGAGCAGGTTGGCAACCGCAGTATTTTTATTGTTGTTTTGCTGTTATCAGAAAGATGCTGCTGCCCATCCTCTGCCCCAGTTTCCTTCTGTCGCCTTTTACGACACCCACGGGAAGATATAGGGTAGTGAGTGTTCTCCACTGCCACCCGTGCTACTACACGGGTTTTTGAGTTATTACTTACAATTAATACTCCTAGGAACTAAGCTAGTAAAACAATTCAAATCAAATATACACTTTTCGTGCCTTTTGTTCGGCGAACACAGCTGAAGAAGATTCGACTACATTCATAGCTGAAAAAGATTTCAGTTTTACTAAATT